TCAATATCAAGCCACGATTATTGTTTTATTTTACATTGTATAATGTCGGACTTTTTTTGCCGTCCGCGAGGAAAAGAAATGTGGCTCAGAGCCTCAGAATACTGAAATCTGTATGCAGACCGATTGCAGGCACGAAACATACTACCAATAGAAATACATTGCTTTTAAAATCGTTCTGTGTGAAACGAAGAAAATGGGAAAATCTTGTTGGTGAACACGAATCAATAGATTACATTTTGTAACTATAACACGAAATGCCTTGAGACTGGGTTGAACCCTAACCCTAAGCACTCTGTTGTACTTGGTTCCGAAAAAATCAAGTTAGCGACTCCAAACATCCAAGATGGTGACTTCAAAAAACCAGGATGGTAGTATGGCCAAAATCCCAAACTCAAGGATTCAAACATGGTCCACAAACCAATTGACCAAGTCCTCTTCTGGTATACAGTTCATGATTTTATCTCACAATAGTAAAACATAAAATACTTGCGAATACTGATCCTTTCTCGTAGTATTCACAGTAAACTGTTCAATGTGGTGTTATAGTGTCGGTCAAGCCTTCAAACTTATGTAAGTTGTATTTAAAACTGACCTTCCAACACATATCCAACAAAGCAGTGCTGAAAGATGTCTTACTTTGCTGCAGACTTCTTGGTCACAGGAGGTCCTTGCCTAATTGTTCTGTCAGAATTGTCCCATAGAGTTGGCTGCAGTGATGGCTAAGGGGTTTATGATGATGTCCCATGGTGACTTGTCTTCTGTTCTTCCATAATATATGAAGTGCTTGCTTTTAATGACCATTTTTAACTCAAACAGCCAGCACGTTTTCTAGATATCATAAAGTATTGAATCTAAATGACACCAAAAGCCTCCAGTGACTTTAGCCTTTTTTTTTTTGCAGGATACACGAGGAGATGTTTTATGTCGTCGTCAGATGTGGTTAGATCAGCATAGGGAAAACCCGCATGAAGACTACATGAGTAATACTTTATGAGGTTTGCTGTGTTCTATCTAAGTGCTTAGAACTTTTCAACTCAGCGGGGATGACGAAATCTAATTATTCAACGTCTGACACCACGTTTTCAGTGGAACAGAGGGCGATCTTAGTGTCTTGCCGTATTTGACCCCTGGGGTGCGACGTGTGCTACATGAGATACACTTCCCACTGTGTTTGTGTGTGTGCGTGTGTGTCTGAATGAAGTGTGAAGTCTGGCCGTGTAGCCTCATCGCAGCCAGGGGTCATCCATCGGGTGTCACCACTCTAGCATGACTCTGCTCTGACAGCGGCTGTGTGCTCACTGTCTTGCCAGCCTTTGCATATACACAAAGCAGTGTTGTTGCTTGTCAAACAAAGTGCCGTGGAATTTGCATAGTGGTTTCGCTGCCGGTGCCCTTCACTCGCCCCGTGTCAATGCCATCAAACATTTCAACCTCTCAGCACCTGGGCCATTTTCCCCCTATTGTTTTGAATTCATAGCTCAGATTGATTTCACATTTGTCTTTGGTGTGACACGAGTAGACGTCCTCCTGGCATGATAAATGAAATGGCCGTGTCCCAATGCTAAGTAGGTGCTTTGTATTTTCGGAAATTCTACCACTGCATGCATTTGTCCTTTGGTGTTCTTGTTTATACCAACCATTAATCACAAAATGACCAACTGCTGTGAGGAAAAATTAATGATTCAAGATTTGAATCATCAAAGTGTATCTCTTTAATAACTCTTAAATAATAGAAACAAGGGAATTCTTCTGTTGCTGTGTGATGGATTTATACTGCAGCCGTTTAGTTATTTGGTGCTCTCAGAGAAACAGGATAATAGACAATTAGTAGATGGATTTCTTTAACTCTGTCTTTGTTCTGGTAGTCTGTTTGATGTTCCAAAATATGTCATAATGCTTTAACTCGCATTAAATAAATGATATTTGGCTCAGACCACCCGCTCCAAAATTAAAAAGAAAGAGGCTCAACATTCAACAGTCCCAGCTGTATTGCATTAAAAGCAAACGTGTTTCCATGATGCCAGACTGTATCGCTAGCTAGGAAGGGAAGAGACTATTTGCAGAGTTTGGAAACACATGCCAGCAGAGCCCCTTACTCTCTTTCCTATTATCACCCTTTTATTGCATCTGTGACACACAAACACAAACCCATGTGTTGTTTGCCACACAATACAAATGTGTAGCATCTGTCGTGTTAATCTGGAGAACAGTTGTTCACAGTTGTTTTTTTAGCTTACCAACAAATGGCTGTCCTGCCTGTAGGTAAAGCTTTCAACTAGGGGTCCGCCAGAGCGCCATATTGCAGTCTGTGAGGGTCCTGTGGATTCATTCAATAAAAGGTTTTGGGTTCATTTATAGAGCCAGTTATTTAGCATGTATAAATGTGATCAAGAAGTCACATATATATATATATCAAATTAAAGTACATATTAATATTTTCGCAGCTTTTTTCAAAGTACGATCAATAGCTAAAACTGCCATAATGTACGATAATTTGATGAAAACCAAACCAAATGGTTTTAGTCAGCGCTCCCTCATTTCAATTAGTTTCCAGATGGCAAAATATGGAAATGAATCCTACTGTATTTTGTGATGATCGGACCAAAGCTTTGATACGAAGATAACGACGTTGGTTAGCCAAAACAAAATCTGATTTGGGTACGTTTTAGGTGTGTCAGTGAGTCATGTTTTACTTAAAATCCAAAAATGTTGAAGCCCCAGTTACACATTTGATCAAATCTGGCAACATTCTTTACCAATGTAAGCTAGCTAACGTTCCCTCGGATGCAGTGACGCAACATTTTAAATAAAAACGTGTTCAAGGACACATCCGTTTAAGTTCCAAAGCACAAAGTAAGGAAACATGACCATAAATGCAATACATTTGGATAAATAATGTCAGGAAGTGATGGTTGAGGGTAAACAGAATATTCAGTTATGTAATTATAGCTCCCAGTATACTGTACACTGACTTTTCTATTACAGTATGTTCTTTTTTCCTGATTGATTTCTTGAAATACTTTGGGCTTTAAGTTACAAAAGGTAGAGATCTCCTGACCTTCATCCTTGTCCTGTTGGCTGTTTTGCAAGACTTTAATGAAAGCAGGCTACGGATGCAAATAACTGCAAATGATGGGACAAACAACATCCTGGTTTCACACATCAGCTGTCGGCCTATATTTCTTACTTGTTAGTTATATTTGTTTCTGTATAAATGAATCCCATTGTGTTTGCATGTACAGCCTGTGTACACATGCATGTCTGAGCAGCTCTGTTTA